ATCAATATGCAAAAGAGTTCAATCCTCTTCAGTTTTGCTGAGGTAGTCTCTATCAAACGCCTGAAACCTGATTTATGTGTTCAGACAGAAGCAGTTATCAGACTTTCCTAGCCCTGGTAACTAGATGCCTTTACTTTCTCATTCATATGATTTCGCAATCTTTGGTTTTGATGTCAACACCCTTTTTGGATATAGTGCAATTGTGCTTGTATCCTGTTCCTATAATTTCAGTTGAACTCAGTATGTTTTTACCCAATATGCATGTTACCTGTCGTCTTACTGACATCTTTCCCTTATTACGCAACCCCCTTACTATTGTATGCATACATGAACCTTTTGTTTAAACATGAAATCTCTGGGTAAAAACCATATAAGTGGGATTCTCTAAGCATTGTTTATTAAGCATGGAGCTTTCTGTTGTTGTCTACATCAGCCTTGTCACTTCCTTTGGGCTGTAAGCAGCTGATGAGAAGCCAACGAAATAAACAGTGATGGGACCATTTTGTTCTGCACAAGTCACTGTTATTCTTGCTTTACTCAAATTTATTGAGGGGAATATATATATATATCTAGTAACATAGATCCATTTTATTGTGTTGACTCTCATCAGCTGCGAGCAACTTATAATTTTCGTCTGCCAACACACATATTGCAACAAATAAATGAAATTAAACTTTGGTTACAGGATTTCATCATGAGCTGACATTGGTTAGAGAACCATTGGACAACCAACTGGGAGTACTGGACAGCTGTTTCGTTCCTACAAACCAACACTTGAATATCCATGAGATGCTCACTGGCAACTTGCCTTATTCAGGTTGTTAGTTACCTGGGGTTCTAGTGGGAAGTCATGACCAGTAGGGTGCGGGAGGTCGGGTGTGAGGACAAATACTCGCCACCGAAGACATCGGCTAGTGGTTGCGCTATGCCATGAAATGGCAGAAATTAGAATTCACGTGCTGGCCAGTGAATCGGGTCCCAGTTGCTGATTGGTCTACGAGCTAACTAGCCTTGTAACCAGAATGCCCTGGGTTCGAACCCTGGATGTGGGTGCATACTGCTGAACAGTCCCAATCTAGGCTGATGAAACAACTGTCCAGTACTCCCTGACTGGTTTTCCATGGTTCTCTAACTGATGTCAGCTCATGATGAAATCCTGTAACCAATCAGTCGAATTCCGACAAACCAACACTTGAAATAGAACAGCGGGATGGTATGGTTGTTGTTAGTATAGTAAAACGAAATCAGAAATCGAAAAATCAGCTAAGTATTCAGATAAGAAAAGATGAAAATTTAATGTCCAAGAGGTCGAATGAAAAGTCGAATGAATGAAAGGAGAAATAATTATTTCTCATGGAAGTCAAACGGAAAAAAGGGAGAGGGTGTGTGTGTGTGTGGGAGTTAAAAGATAAGCTAATGAAATTAGAAAACTAGGAGTTACACTAAGGGGACGAATAACCAGGATAACTGAAGTCGAATAACAAATTCATTTAGGACACATACTTCAGGTTTCAGCCGTTTTATCGCCATAGCTTCAGCAAACCCAAGAAGAATTGAGCTATGTTGTCTTTTAATCATTTTGGAGGATCCCAGCGTGTGTATTCGGTGTCCTGTGTCTATCGAGTGTCACTTCGTAGTCCAATTTTAAATCAAACCAGCCCTTACAAATCGATATTAGGAAACTAACCGAAATGCTCACTGACTGAGTAATGGAGCGGTCTGCAGTTTTGTTGAGGAGTTATAACCAAGAGGATTTCACATACTATTGAAGAAGCTGTGAAAATCACGAACGGTTGTTTGGCACACTTTAGTGACAGGCACTGACAAATTCAACGGGATAGAATCCCATAGTCACTCCTCGCCAGATTCGTTGTGAAAACAAATACTCGTTGATGACAATGATAAGCAGCTGACCTATATACGTGGATTCGATTTGTGCTTGCTTTTTTGTGCGTGCTGTAATTGTCAATGTCAGCTGGCAATTATCACAGAGAATGCGTGAAGTAGAGTTTGGTGAATTAGGTTGAACGACATACAAAGAGTGGTGAAATGAACTAGCGATAGCGTCGGTGTACATCTTTGGTAGGATTGGCTTGTCTCAATCAAAAGCGGACTCCCGACGAGGGATCCGAAATCACATTGGGGGGGGCGGGTGGGGTGAATTCATAGAAGTTAGAGTTCACAAGCTACTTAATTCTGTTCAGGTGGCTGAAAAGTCAGATGGCTTGTCTGGTAGCATGAACATCCTGTGTTCGATCCTAGCATCATGGATCCATCGTACTGAGGAATCCCAGAAACTGGGGCAAGACAGCTATCGGCTACTCTCGCCTCTTCACTGGTTGTCTTAAACCGATTTCAGTTCACTATCTAACTCGAAATTGATCAAATCCTTGTAAACCAACTATTGACAATTAAAGTAACGTTTTATTCACTTCACATTCTAACTTATTCCGTCTACATTTATTAGTAAATCCAAATGTGCACATATTCATCAAAAAATCGATGAACGTTAACTAATATGGTCTGTCTAGTCTAGTCTAGTCTCCTGTTGTCCTCCAGTTTTTTTTTTCAGACAGTAGGTATACTAATTTTCCACCAATCTATTGCTGTTTACACAAAAGATAATAAAGGTCACCATGCTCATTGTTTTAGTGAGCTGATAATAATAATAATAAGAATTTGAGAAATATTTCTCTGTAAGTAGATTAATACAAACACAGGGTATAATTAACTACTTATGTGGGGTGTCATCGTCCGATTACTACAGATACTTTAATTGACCTTGCAAATACTCCGACTTGTTGTCTATCGAAGTAGATTTGTTTTCTGGTTTCTTTGCGTCCCAAGTGAAACACAGAGCTTGAGGCTTTGGGCCTTGACGCTACAGTAGCCGTGGTACCGTTTTCATGGGGTGAAAGTATTAGACTCACATCCGACCCACTCTTTTTTTGAGTTCACTCTCAGATAATACACTTAGATAGGCTTTAGGGGTGAATGTCGGATGGGAGTGGAATCCCTGACCACATGGCTGGTCATGGGTCATCCTCACGCTGAACCACAGCACACTGTCAGAGTAGATTTAGCCAACCGGCTTCATGTAAGTTTATTGTACTCATTTGATACCTCTAGAAGTGGATTAGCCACATTGCAAGTAAAGTGAAGTTCGGCAGTCAGTCGAGTCGAATGATATGGTGCATCTTTGGTTATCGATGAACAACAAATGTGTCCTTCCCTTTGCTGAACTTCTCTTCTTCAGTGTGCAACGCTCATGCATTTCTGTGTGTGGATAACAAGTCCACAATTTACCAACATAAAAAATGATTAAGCAAAAAAGGGAATCAGTGAAATCCTCTCAAGTTAGGTAAATGAAAACTCTGTATGTTATCTGAAGTGCCGGTGGTTCTCTGGAGAAGTTCTCATCAACCACACACATGCCACGAATTCTATTTTCGGCTGATACACTTATAAACTTGATATGAGGCAAGTTATCCAACCCTATAGAGTCAATACCACCGCGACTGTAACCTCAGGGGGCAAAGTTAAACTTTCGACACCACTAACAACCAATCAGCAAGTGACCTTGAACGGACCAGTCACATTAAAGAGGCATATATGATGAATGGAAATGTATATTTGTAGAAAAAAGCATAAAATAGAGAATAAAAAAGTTACATGGGATATCTTTCTCGAACATGTGAGAGAAACATCTCCCAGTTTAGCATGGGACTGTCAATGGAGAAGTTACACCATGTCCTGTACATATATTCATCCAAATGACCATAAATGAGATCCATTTATAGCCCTTATCCTATTTTTCAACCTGCCCCAAAATCCTTCATTAGAATTTGTATGTGTCCTCGTAACGGGATCCACAAAATCACTTGAATGATTGTCTCTATGATGAATATATCCCGGAGATGACAGCGAATTGCAGCCTTTCCACTCGTCCGTGTGTATAATTGACCCCCGCTTAACAATTGTGGTAACAATAGGTATAAGAGTAGTTGCTTTTCTATCTGCTATCCTTAGGGAGAGAAGCGACCTAGCGAAAAAAGTTCCTACGAAATATTAAAATTATCAGCTTACTCTCTCTAGCGTTAGTAGGCTTCAAACATATAGCACAACGATGAACAAACCCATCAGTTGATTTGGTATAGCTTTTTAAAGTCATGATACCACCACACAAACAAATTCGCTCTTTCCGGCGCAACTCAAATCCAGGTAATACTGGAAAACGCTAACCTCCTCGAATTGCAACCATAACCTTGTAAGGTCACGCATTAGAAATGAATCAAGCGCTATACAACATTGAACTACCTTCGTGAATTGAATAATTCGACATCGTTCGTGAACCTCATCGGATAATTCGCTGATTGGTAGTTAGTGGTGTCGAAAGTTTAACTTTGCCCCTCAGGGCTCTGGCTAGAAGTCCTATCTTCGATAACAGACGAAAAAGAATGCGAAAAATTTACAAATAGAAACAATTTGTTTAAATTGTTCATTTTTTATTCCGGCGCTTAATCCAGTTTGTTCTGGATTCGAATGATAAACATCAGTGGAAAATCACTGAAAGCCAGAGAGAATAAGATAAATGTTTCATCCTAGTGTGGAACTTTTCAGAGATACAAAGTCTCAACCTCGCCGAAATTCTCGGTTCATCGGATTCCGACTCATGTGGATGGTTGTTTAGCCATCATGGCCTCGTAATCTGAGTGCTCTAGATTTCATCAGTGCTTCGGTTGTGAGTGTGCACTGATGAAGAGTCCCAAACTAGGACGAAACAGCTCTGTAGTGCCTTAGCTTATGTTTGACTTCTTTTATCCAGAATTAAGTGATTCTATTCCGACTTCTGTATTTCTACGCCACTCTTCAGGATCAGTGTAAATGCTTTGACTTTCAGCTACGAAGAATATCTACAGTTTATCTACAGGGTCAGCATTTTATAATAATGATAATAATGGTAATGTCAATTTTAAGACAAAAAAGTACTCAGAACTTACAATAGAATGAAATCCTGGTGTTTCATGACACCATTTACATTGGACAGTTAATGGTTTAAATTCACGACGCCATTCTACAGCTGTTGCCAATTGTTTAAATGCATCTTCGACAACATAATTTCTTGCCACAATAAATCGTGATAAGCTAAACATTTTAGAATAAAAGAAGAAAGTTGAAAAGTACACAGTGTTAATTAGACATTAACACTGAAGGTATATTGACAGAAGAGTTAGAATCCTTGAGAAAAGGTACTCTAACTAAGTATGGATAGCGAACTTCTTATGATCGAGGGACATTTAAAATGAAAGACTGACAGTCCGTGAAATCTGAAGGTGTCGAAGAAATTATTAGTTGTTAATCTGAAATTCATGGGAGATACGACTGATAGAGTTCTCTAAAGCACTGTCTTCCGGGGGCGATTTGAAGGGCGTTATTCCCTGAACCTCTATGCCTCATCTTCCCTGTGTTTGCTGCTGTTTATCAAGAGGTCAAAAATTAGATCCCACTCTAGACCAGTTCAGTGGGCATTTACCAATTAGGTACATAGGTCGTAGTTGCAGCGTACTGCCCAGATATGCTCATGAACATCTACCCAGATGTCCGTGGAAAGGAGAATGCAGAACAATCAATAGTTCTGTTCTAAAGCACAGGATTACTTCTTTTCATGAAGCTTCAGCAGAGAGGTCATATACGAAATCAATCCTGTCAAAAGGACTCACCTTACATCTTTCTCATACAGCTGAAGCTCTTACCATCAATAAGAAAACACCGGTGGTTTCTATTCACAAATGTGTTCGTAATGATGAAACCACTATTAATTTTGTGAAAAACTTCTTCATATTTTGTTGGTCAGCTTGACTGGATGATTCTACAGGATGTTATCAGTTTCTATGCTCGTTACAGATTCAGTCAGCTGGTGAGACAATTACCTGTTTAAGGATATTAGATGGTTGAAGGCAGTCGGTCAGAGGAAGCCCAATCTGACCTAGTTTTCGTGCTAGTCGGCACTCACCGGTCAGCAAGGCGTATCTGTAACCCTGAAGGAACTCATGTCCCCTTTGAGATTTGAACCCGCGCCACACAGTGTTGCGGTGAGAGATCTTACCAGTCAGGTTTGCGATGTTGCCACCATTCAAGGTAGAATTCAGTCTGCACTAAAGACAGGACTAGACATATCACCCTAGTTACTAGTGTCCAATCACAGTATGCACTACACTCCTACAGGAGGTCAGTCTCTAGCCCGAATAGCTCAGTGATAACGTCTCTGACTGCAGTGCTCACTGGGTGACGCGGGTTCGAATATCAGAGGTGTGGGACATGAGTTCCTTCAAGTTGGTTGCGGATATACTGGCCTTGCTGACTGACGAGAGCCAACTAGCACAAAAGCCAGGTCCAAGGCTGGGCTTCCTCCTGGCGATTGCCTCCAACAATCTAATATCATGAAATAGTTTCCACCAAAAGAATGGAACTAATAAACCTAATGGTTGGATCTTATGTTCTTCAAGGTGTCTTGTGAAATGTTACCCATTGTTACATATATATGCGCGGTGTATTTATTCGTAGAGGTGTTTTCAGGAATTGGAATCATACTTTTCTGTTGTACTGCTCTTAGAAGATATCGTTTTTTGAGGTGGATTTTCAAAAGACACCTACTTTTGAAGAACATCTTTATCTTGTTGCATTGATTTTTGAAACATCTGATTCCCCTGGAACTGATATAGTTGCTGAATATTCACACTATGCTGGCAAGCAACATAAGCGGTTCACTTGATTCCTAGAAGATTTCTCTCGCTCTCAGTTGGGATTTATAAGACTCATACAACAATATAGGAGTGTATATTCTTACCGAGTGAGCAAGTAATATGAACTTTATATCTTTCATGTCACCACCTTTTCATTCACGCCTGACTCGTCGCTTCACACTCGGATTTCTGTCGAGGGCTTGAATCGGCCTCCTCAGTGTATATGCAATACGTCTGGAGAGGGAAACCGCTCCAAGCCACATCATCATATCAAAGAAGACACTGTTTATGATTTTGGCACCCAAAGATGACACTACTGCTGAAGTGATTCAAAGATGCCTGTCCAACGAAACATATTAAATTGCCTTTTTATTCCTTTGGCTTAGTATTCTGCAGGCGAAATATGCTTCACTAAAGCATTAAGGATAAACTACCCTTCGTGCTGGTGTCTGTTCGCCTCTACTGTTTTATATAGTCCTTTAGTGATGATTACAATGGAAATGTAAGCGTGTTCTCCAGAAATTCGTAGCTTAACACTACCCAGTTTGGTTGATGAAAAGGCGGACAAAAGATGACGAAAACCTCCATTTGTGACGGCTTTCTGGAGTCAGATCCCCCAGAATTACGTGAGTAATCTACCGGTTGAATTCTACTCACTCTCTACTTATGTGTAGCCGAATTTGTAGCTATACATGGACAAAAGCCTAAACTACATATTGAACAATGTTTGATTAAACCTCTTCCGTTGCTATGGTAATCGTAATGTTCTTTATATATATATATATATATATATATATATATATATATGATTTCTTGAATTTATTTAATTTTACTATATCTTCGCCTCTTTTATTGCATTTTAAATTTCTTAGACCATGCTTGAAACCTACTTTTAAAATCTGCCCTTATTACTTTTGTTTCCTTTAATTCCTAGAGGAACATAGGTCTTCAGCCACATTTCTTTATTGCGCTCGATTCTCTGCCTATATTTTCATCACCTGCCTCCACGTCTGCACACATGCTTTCATCTCCTCTTCACATCACCTCCTCCAAGTCACCCTCGCACTGACCACCAACTTGCTTCTTCTTGTTCAGGTTCCACTCGAGCGATGGTCTGGCATGTGATGTCACTCACTTGACAATTTTTTTCTCATAGTATTTGTTTCACAATCGGTTTCTGCTGTGTTGATTCGCTTATTACCAGAAATACCTGTTGCTGATCTTATCTGGCAATCTGATCTTAAGTATTCAGCAAAGACAGTTGTTGATGAAGACGTGTAGTTTGTTCGAAGTGCACTTCGTGACGTGCCAAGTCTCTGGTCCGTATAGTTAGTAGCACTGACTTCACATTGGAGTAGAAAATCCGGATCTCATTTTTAATGCTGAGTGCTGTTGACTCCACACAGGCTTGAGACTGATGAAAGCTTGTCTTACTTTCCCTAACCTCACTATGATCTTCTCGTCAGTTCCATCCTCTTGTAGTTGAAACGATGCTTCCTAGGTCGGTAGGTAAAGGAGATTGCTTCTTCAAGATTCCTCCCATTTATGCCGATTGTTGTCTGTTGTTGTTGCTGTTGGCCAGGAATCTTCATCACCTCTGTTTTCTCAATGTTCACCTGAACCCCTTCCAATCGTTGATGTTTCTTTTGCCAACTTGTTGCTTTTCACCACTTGCATATCTTCCAGTTTGTGAGAAATCAGACATGTATCATCGGAGAAGTCTAGACCCTCCAAGTTTTTGTGTGAGTCCATCTTATGCCCGCTTCCTCGCTACCCGCTCTCTGTCGCACTATCCAGTCTAACGTTGTCAATCAGGAAAATCATTGGAGATAGTAGGCAGCCAACCAGCCAGCCTTTTCTTACTCCCGTCTTTACTTTGAAGGATTCCGTGAGTAACCCGTTGAGGACTACTTGGCATTCAGCATTGTCATACAACTGTTGAATGAGATGTATAATTGTTGGCGGCACCCCTTGGTAGTAGCGAATTAAATTTCCAAATCACCTCCTGATCGACGCTGTGCTATTGAAGGCCTTTTCAAAGTCGATGAAGTTGAGAGAGAGAGAGAGAGCAAGAGAGCTGACTGCCATTTCAAGCTCTGTTGAATGGTGATCCGCAGTGTTGTAATTTGATCAATGCACGACTTGTTTATCCTAACCTAATGGGCGTCTATCAGCACGCTTAAATCTGATTGTTTGTTTATCTGGCTACCTACCTGTTAAATAGTCAGTGTGTTCACAATTTGAATTCTGACTGTAATACACTTTCAACCCATTGGGCTGTAGTCGCACATAATGAAAGCATATAACAGGGTTTATGTATTTATGTTTAAAAAAATTAAAGTTTTTTTAAAGTGTTAAACTCACGTTTCATCACATGTGGCAAAATCAGGTTCATCTGGCAGTGGAGTCAATTGACGTATAGCCATCTGACGTAATTCCATTTTCAGATCCATAATTTGTTCTGGTGTTAGTTCTTTGCGGGAATTCTTTCGTCCAGATGATGTTTTTGATAAGATCTTTTTACTCATTTTATTTCTGTTGATAATATTTTTGTTTTTTGTGTGTGTGTCTGTGTTCAAAGAGTACGCTTTACTGCCAGTGGAAACCGGTGTGTGTGTATGTGTGCTTGTTATTGATTTTCTTTTTGAAGAGAAGGAAGACGGTAGATCTTTTCTTGAACACAAGTCTAAATAAAAAGAAGGTAAAGACGAAGAGGTTGGATAACTGTTTTGTATTACCACAAAATTTACGACATTTACAAGCTTAATCACACCAATCACATTTAGAGATCCGCTGGAAACCAGGGCATTTTGGATGCTTCAGCGGTACGCACCCATGACTCCACCAGGGAGTCGAACTAGCTACTGTTGGGTTGCATGGAGAGCTCGTTGACCTTTCTGGTACTGTGATAGAATCCCGTGGCCTATGAATTTTAACTCCTACTAAACCGTGATATAAAGCGCAATCGTCAGGAGCTGACTAGAGAATGCAGCCATCTGAAATCCCAGCGGGAGGTTGTCATCAGCGAGATCCACCAAGCTAGAGGTGAAGACAAATGCTCATCAATAATACTGGCTGGTGGTTACTATCTATATCTTGAAACGGAATAAGCTGAAATCAATTAACTGTTGCACTCTATTCCAGTGTTGGAACAGTCAACGGAAAATTCTTGTGATGCCGAGGCTTTGAGTCCAATCCCCGATGGGGTAATAGGTATGCACCGAAACTGAGACGAAGCACTTATGAATTACTCCCTGGTCCATAATAGTTTTCGAACTAATATCTCTTAATGGTCAGATTTGAAAGTTGACAACATTTGAAGTCATGGCGACAATGGCAGACATTTGTCTACTCACTCACTGTATTTCTCAGTGTATGCGTTACACAACTTCCTTCAAAGTGAAACGGACTTTGCTACTAGTCTGAAAAAGGTAGGAGAACAGTTTATCCTCCTTCATATCCTTTTGGACAACATTTTCAGACCCAAACCTCCTGGTGAAGATGCAGCCTAAAAGAATAATGGATTGCCTCACAATTTTAAGTCAAGAACAAATGAGATGGCAGTTGTCTCCCCTTATTTCTCTACTTATCGTGTTACCGAATAGAGTGAAATGGTGATGTGCTGTTGAAGACCTGTTATGTTCCATGCAGAACCTAATGGAGTTATAATGATCATACCAACGGTAATTGTATGCCGGGTCGTGTTCGCTATGGCTACGCTGGTATTTGTATAGGTGACTGCTCTAGGCTAGGGTATCTGATTATATATGGATTGGGAAAGTGTGTTCATCTGTGAGTCTCTTAAAACAAACTACAACATTTACATAAAGCTTTCCTTTCAGATTTAATAGTGTGAAATATTCCCATATCGCATAGATTAAAATTCAATCTGAAGGAAGAATATTCTTTTCAGCGATATCTCCTCTTCAGATTATTACAATTATAAAATAAAGTATTTCTTGTCGTGACAATAATGCGAGCCAGTTATGCGGCGGATACATTTTTTACGTAGAATAACAGATAAGCAATTATGGGGTGTCGAAATAAATAGTCGTATCTGTGTGACAAACGTGCTTTGAATAAAGTAAAAATCCCCATTTAGACATTTAGAAAACAGAAAGATTGAGCGAAGAAATATTTACTTTTCAATTAGATCCTCATCTCACTCTGGCTTTACTCTAATATACACGTATAGCATTTTAATTACAATACAACAGTTTGTCAATCAAGTGGCGATAAGTTTGTTAACAATAATCAAACTGCGCCTGAAGAATGCAGTTAAAAGAACTTATTATGCAGCAGAGGTACGTTGTCTCTTTACAACCACCCCCTATTCTATGTTCGAGAAATAAGGATAAACTACCTAAATTCGCCTCCTCTAAGTGTATCTACCAGTTTGACTACAGCTGCGGAGCCAGCTACATTGGACGTACAATTAGGCAAGTTCATCGTCGTATTTCGGAACATCATCCAACGTGGTTAAGTAAGGGACAAAAAAGATCTATTCTTAGCTCTATTTTAGCCCACCTCTTTGATACTGAGCATAAGATTGTTGTTAATACAGCATTTAAAATTATTTATCGCATTCCAACTTATCTTAATTTTGCTTTGCGAGTTCGTCTTCTACAGACGTCTGAGGCGATTGGCATTCATCTGAAGAAGCCAAGCCTATGTTTACAGAAAAAATTTGTACAGCCACTTTCCCTACCGTGGCGGCCATCGTCACAAGAATGGGTAAACAGCACTGCGTCACTCCCCTCCCCCTAAACCCATAAAATTATATTTGTCTGAATTATTTATCTTATTTTATTTATTTTGACCACTTTATCTTTAATTTACGTGTTATTCTTGTAAAATTAATTTATTCTATCCACCATTTCCACCTTTGAAATCTGTATTGATTTTCTTCGTTAATTATTAACCCGTTGACACTGTTTAATTATTGTTAACAAACTTATCGCCACTTGATTGACAAACTGTTGTATTGTAATTAAAATGCTATACGTGTATATTAGAGTAGAGCCAGAGTGAGATGAGGATCTAATTGAAAAGTAAATATTTCTTCGCCCGCTTAATCTTTCTGTTTTCTAAACGTGCTTTGGGCTGAAATCGACTACAAAATATTTCGATGAAATGGGAGACAATTGTGGTGATTAGTCATAATAGATTTGTTTAGTGTGAGGTAGGAAAAGTTATAAAAGTTGTCAAAGGTGATTGGCTAGTACAAAGTGGTCTGTGTTAGAAAGGAGATAGTAAGACTGCAATGAGAGGTTCATTCGTCATGAAATAACGAATGTGTGAAAGGAAACAGGTGGAGGCATATATTCAGAAAAGACATAATATCACTAATAATAAGTCCGGATAGTTCAAATGGAAAATTCGATAGTTTTGAGAGAATGTTTGAATGAAGGATATAAATTATGACGAATAATAATAATAATTGTAGTAATAAGCAAAGGAAAAAACCAAGAGGGTCAAGGGGAAGAAGCACTCTTGGTGACAAGAAGAATCACAATCCAAGTTTGTCCAGGGTAGGAACAGCGTCTGGACGTGTTCTTTTTGGATACAAAGTTTAGGTTTAGTCGTTCTTATTGCAACAGCTTCAGCTATGCGTAGGAGACGTAAGAGAACTGTACGTGATAAGGACTTCTGAATTCGGTATATGACCCGGACAGCTGTGTTGACGTCGATACTATGTCCACTATCAACCAAGTGTGACAGGATCAAGCTTTATATGCACTTAACTTCCCCCTAGTGAACCAAGCTGGTTCGGTAAGACATCTATGAGTTGCTGGGTGAACACTGGATGGCTAATGAAGGATTAGGACAGATGTGTAGTCTCGAGAGTTTTCTTTATCCCACTGATTAAACGTTGCAATATAATCTCCGTGGGAGTATCTCCCTTGAATTGGAGATGTAAAGGCAGAGGCTTTTTCTCCACCGTTACCAGTTCATGTTTACTACTATTGTAACCTGTTTTGGCTTTAATGAACTTCTCTGGATATCCGTTCTCGGTTAAAATATCTCGGATGACCTGGAGTTCTTTCTCTACACATTCTTCGGAACAAATGGACCTCGGTCTAAATGCTAAGTATCTGATCAGATTACATTTGTATTTCATGGGTACAAAGATAGGGAAGTTTGTATACTGAGCTTTGATCTCTAGCTTTCTAAATATGGTTCTTTTGACGAGACAATCCTCTCTTCTCATTAGTAGGACGTCGAGGAAGTGCGAAGATTCGTTGTATTCTCCTAATCTTTTATTCTACGTATAAAAATGTATCCTCCACTTAACTGGCCATTATTATTGTAATGAAAACAAATATGATATATTATAGTTATAAGAACCTGAAAAGGAGAAATTATTGAAAAGAATTTTTTACGTTCAGACGGACTTTCTTCTCAGAGCCAAAAACTGACTTATGTACATATAAGAGTAGAGATGTTAACACATGTATACCGCTTCCACGTCCTTCTTCCCGACTTAATTTTTGATTGCTACATTCTATGATAAAACAAATCGTGATAACATCACTATGATTATTATTATTATTATTACTATTATTTTAATTTCCGGTTTCCAACAAAATTGCAAAATCAAATTTAATTTCGTTCGTGGTGATTAATCAATCACTCAATCAGGAAATCAATTGTTCATCCATTCATCATTTCAGTTAGGTTTTAAAAACATTATTTTTAAATGGACAATTATCTTTTTACTTTGTGTGAAGATTGTGACTGGCAGCAAATCACAACTGATGGAATGTTCGCCAATGTTTAGGCCAATAACCGTTCAATTTTAGTTTGATTGGCTTTCAACTACTTATATCTGTTAGTAGTATGAATATGTTTAGGGAGTTATTTTGTAGGAAATTTCAATTGTTTCAAGTTGGATCACGGATTGATATCATTAAGATAAAGAACTATAGAAAGTCAGTAGGGAGTACTGGAGAGAAGTTTGAATTCATGGATTACTGAATTTCGGCAAAAGTGGCTTTCATAGTATTTAAATTCCAAAGGAAAATATACAAACCAGTTGAAGGAGTTGCTGTGGGGTTGCCAATATCCCCGGTTGTGCTAGATATATTCATGGATAGGTGGGAATATATAGCGATTGAAATGTTCACCCCCACCCCACGTCGAAGTATGGTGGAGGTGTTTAGTTGACACATTCACTGTACTTGGAACACAAGACAAAGATGGATTTTCCGAACACATAAACTCAAAGGTGGAGGCATTTCAATTCAGTTATGAATTGGAAAGTCAGGGAGGGGAACTTCAAATGTTAGATTGTAGCGTAAAAGGGAAGGAAAATGGGAAGTTGAACGCTAGTAGTGTTTACAGGAAACCCACACATTGAAACAGATATTTGGACTTCCGATCATCCCATCCTATGTTCGTGAAAATGTTTAAATAACAGAGCACAAAAACTTAGTAGTTCCAAAGAAAATCTAAAACAAGAAGTGAGGCATATAACAGGAGAAGCCTTGAAACTGAATAATTACCCTGATAAATTAGTCAGAAAATATGTAGCGAAATTCAAAAATAAAATAAGTAATGATAGTCGAGATAGTGATAATAATATGAATTACGACATGAAAGTCTAATGTGCGCAAGACAACAATAAGGAATCTAAATCATCAGTAGTAATTCCATACAAGGAAGGAACCTCAGAAGGCCTTCTCA